TTCTCCAAGGGTTGCTGTGACGGAACTTCCAGGGGTGGAATGTCATGCCTGGCAGCCAGCAGAGGCTTCCTCATGCCATCTATTGCTGCTGCCATCAGGAGCCCTGTGCAGGATGATGGACCTCAGCTGTCCCCTCTCTCATGTACGTGCCATCATGGAAAAGGCTTGGGCTCCTGGGATGGACCCTGCTGTCCTCTTACTCAACAGATCCTGGAGCACTTCCAATTGCAATCACCCTGCTAGGACCAGGGGACCAAGGACAATAAGGCCACCTCTGGTTAAAGTGGCTCATGGAGTCTATGTCAGCCATGACAGATTTGTTGAAGATCCCAGATATTAATATTATAACTTCTTCATGATTTGGTAAATATTTTACTAGTATATCTCCAAAATTGGTGATCCACTGCAGCTTGGACCTCTCTCCACGACGCCACGCTGATGTCCTCCTCTCCACCTGACATCTCCTCCTGTCTGTCTAAGGACAGTCTCAGTGCTGAAGTCTGCACACCCGTCTCTCCCCAGCACCTGCTCTGCCCAGCATCTCATCCATCACATTTGATAGCAACTGCATCCACCCTGTTGCTCAGGATGAAACTTTGGGGTGATCTTGGACTCTTCCCTTTCTCTCACACCCCACGTGCACTCTAACAGCACACCTGTCATCACAAGATACCCAGACTCCAGACACGCCTCCCACGCATGGCCCACCAGCCTTGCCTGCCTGGCTTCTGCAGTAGCTGCCCGCCCGCTGGTCTCCCTGCATCCACCCACCCCGCTCTCCTAGAGCCTATTTCCCACCCAGCAGCCGGACTGGGTGCAGATGAATGACGACTGACTGCACGAAATGACCCGCATCTCACTCAGAGGAAATTGCGGTCCTCGCCGTGGCCTCAAGGCGCTCTGCTGCCTCTCTCGGGTCACTCCCCACCCTCTCACTCTGCTGCAGGCCCCCTGGCCGCCTACCGTCCCCTGGACGGACCGGGCATGGTCCTGACTTGGGGCCTTTGCTCTTGCCATTTCCCTGGCCTGGGTTCCCCCCCATATCCCCTTTGCTTATTCCCGCACCTCCTCCACAGCTGAGTCCCCCTGTCACTTCTCCTGAGCCTGCCCCGAGCACCTGTCCGATAGGGATCCACGTCCCACCCGGCAACACGACCTCCCTCACCCCGTCCTGCTGTCTGCCACGCGCTGTCACACACGCTCCGTATTTGCGCCCTTCCCTCCCATGACAAGGCCGACAGCTCTGGGCTGTTCACCGACGTTTCCCACGCCTGGGCCTCACGCCGAGTCTGAGCTTAATAAACGTGTGAGAATGAACGAGTGGCTGGCTTGCTCTATGAGGAAGCTGAGAACCGGGACTCGGGGTCCTCAGTGCACTAGTCCAGACCGTGGAGGACAGGGAGTGTCCCTGGGGGACCCAGTGCTGACCGACGATGCTCCATCTGCCCCTCTGACCCGCTTCCCCTCTTCGTTTCTAGACTGGCCTTATTGTCGCCTGCTACCACGGCTTTGTGGATGCTGTGGTGGCTTTAGCAGAGTGCCCCCACGTTGACGTCAACTGGCAGGACAGCGAGGGGAACACAGCCCTAATCACAGCCGCACAGGCAGGTAAGAGCTGGCTTCCCTCCCCTCCCAGAGCCGGGCAGCTGGGCTCCTGCACGCAGGCTCGGCTCATGAGTGTGGTGCAGGGAGGATGGAGATCGATTGGGAATCACGTGCTGCTTCCACGAGGTGCGAGGCAAGGGTGGATCGGTGTGAGTGCATGTTCTCTGCACATTCAGGACACTGTGGAGTTTGCCTGCTGGTGCAGGAGTCAGCACTGGCAGGTCGAGCTCCAATACTGACCTAAGGCTTTGAATGTGATGCTGTACTGGAGACCCAGACTCCTCACCGCCTCACCTAGAGCGTTGCACCCCTCCCAGCTCTCCAGGACCAGGGCGGCATGATGCTGGCAGACCCACTGGGGGAAGAGACACTGTCACTTGTTTTAGTGACAGTCACTGTATAAAAATAGACATAGTTAGAAGGTGACCTTGCATTTTACAAGTAGACTTGAAGAAATGCCAGGAACTACTTTCTGAGAGCTGCAGAGTATCAGTGTAAGAAGAAAAGACTAAATTAGTGAGAGTCAATGTGTACCCAGGTCTGTGTCCTTCAGCCCATCACGGTCATCTTGAGAGGCTGGTACTTTTGGCAATATTGCCAAGTGCATGTGGCTCTCCACTATTAGAACTGGATTCAGATTTTTTTTTTAAAGATGACCGGCAAAGAAATCCCAACCCTTGACTTGGTGTTGTCAGCACCACGCTCTCCCAAGTGAGCCAACTGGCCATCCCTATACAGGGATCCGAACCTGCGGCCTTGGTGACATCAGCATCACGCTCTCCCAAGTGAGCCACAGACCGGCCCTCAGATGTTTTTTGAAACAAACATGAAAGCAATGCCTGTCCCTTCATAATCATTCTTCATTTGTAGCTGTGGTCTTGACCAGTTTTATAACTGAGCCCTTTCAAAATACTTGGCTTCTAAAGATTGTATCTGTTTGATAAAACGATCTCCCTTAAATTGTAGTGCCCTGGGAGATCTAGGTTAAGTTGGCAGTCACATCCACCTGTCCCGGACAATGTTATCATAAGACCGTTTTTACTTAGAAGCAGTCAAGCTGGCACCAAAAAGTCACAGACTAACCTAGAATGCTTCTTGTAACTCTTACCATAGATCCCTGCATGTGAGATGTGACCGAGTAACCATCTCAAATCTATTTGTCAAGTACAATCAATGAAAAACCTGAAGAAGTAATTAGGCAGGACTGTCCTCTCTCTCTCTTTGATCCTTGCTTGTTCTTGTCATTATCAAATACTAAGCCCTGCTGGCCCTCTTCAGAATGTGTTCCTCAGGGTGACCTGACCTATGCGTTTCCTGCTGCTGATGGTCATACCGGCTCAATAAGCTGTATGTGTTCAGCCTCAGTTTCTTTTTGGTCAGCATATTTCATCAGTCACGTTCGCAGTTGCAAGCAAAGAAGCTGCCTCTGGCTGAGCCAGGAAGAAAAGACATTTGTGCATTAAAGGAATGTGGGTGGCACATGAGGTTGTCAGGAGTTGTTGAGAAACAGGCCCAGGGCCGGGAAGCTGGAGAAAATGCCCCAAACCACACTGTATGCTGACTCTGGTCAGAAAACGTCTGCTGCTGCCACCAAAGAGAGACCTCCTCGCCCCTTCTTTGCTTCATTAGCCAGCTTGTGTCACAGCCAGCCTGGGAGGATATGATCGGGGGGAGACCAGGGAGGCTGGAAAAGCCAGTGTCTGGCAGTTTCATCCTCCATAGCAGGAGGTGGTCTGCGAACCCCGCTTTTCAATCAAGACACTGTAGGGTGGAGAGTTCCCCAAACTTAGCAAGGGCCAAGGACTGCTCTAACACGTGTTCACCTCATCAGGTTTCAGGGCGTGATGCTTTCCCTCCATGGAGGTTTCCAGGTTCCTGCAAGCCCAGGTCACAACCTCCTGAGCAGCAAGAGTGACTCTCCTGTGTTAGAATTGTATTCAGACAGAGGATACTGTGAGGGGTTTGGTGATCACTCGTTTGTTACCTCCTGTGGGCCAGGCACCGTGTCAGAGACCAGGGATGCAGACCTGAAAGGCAGCTCTGTCCTTGAGTCATTCTGCAGCTCCTGGGATAAAGAGGCACCAAGCCCAGCGCTGCCTGCAGGAGCTCTGAAGGAGGGGTGTATTAGGTGCCCCGGGATGGGCACACTCCCTGTAGCCCAGCAGTTCAGGACAGGGTCTCAGAGGAGAGGACCTTGAGATGAGTGCTGAGGAAGTCTGAAGCAGGCCACTGCAGCCAGTGCACCCCAAGCCATAAGGCCAAGAGGGAGCTTGGCGGGTCTTGGGAACGGCATGGCTTAGGGACAGTGTAGGTTGATGTGGCTGGAGGATGGGGTGCTACAGGAGAAATGAGAGGTGATCTCATGCAGAAGGCAGTGACCAGATCATCAAGGGTCCAGACATGGTGCGAGGGAACGCATTGAGTGGTGTGAGGCTGGGCGTGTGGTGACGGAGGAGTGAGAGGATCCTGGGGGGCCCAGAGGGGTTTCAGGGAGCAGAGAAGGGCCAAGAGCCATGTACACAGGTGTCAGTGGTTGTGATGTGGGCGACGGAGGAGAGGCGGGAGTCTGGGATGGCTTTTAGGCTCCAGATGGGACTAACACCAACTGTAGAGGGGGTATAAGTAAAAGAGTAGGGAGTTGGGGAAACATCGGTTCTGTTTTGGCCGTCATGACTTTGAATGCTGTGAGCCATTGAAGTAAAGAGGTCTCGATGGCAGGCGGAGAGAACAGAGCTCCGGAACCTGGTCTGTACTGGAAATGCACACGGGGTTTATCGGGAGAGCCGTGGACACGGATTAGGTGTGCCCGGCGTGAGAATGGACGGTGTGAAGAGATTCTGTTCTTATTGACTTGCAAGACCTCTTCGTCTGTGAGGGGTATTAGCTGTGGTGCATGCCCATGAGGGACGTTCTGAATTCTTGCCTATTTGAAATGTTATTTTGTATTCACACACAAATAACAACCTGTCTGAATATAAGAACACAGCATCATTTTTTGTCCTTACTTCTTCCACCCACCCCGCTTTCTTCTTTCTTCACTGTTACAGAGGAATAGGCTGAGACTAGCCTGCCTTTTGCATCTTTGGTAGTATCTGGAAATTTCTCCTGCCCCCATCCCTGCAATGGGAAAAAGGAGAAAAAACAAAAGCCCTCACTATCATATATCTCAGTTCTTTCTCTGGGTGTGTTTTGACTTGCCTTAGGTGTATTTTTACTTTAGGAGCATTGTTCTGTTATCTCGCCTGTTTTTTTCTCCCCTTCTCCTGGTATTCCTCTTCCCTGTGGATTAGATCACCTCGTCTGATCTCATGCAGAAGGCAGTGACCAGATCATCAAGGGTCCAGACATGGTGCGAGGGAACGCATTGAGTGGTGTGAGGCTGGGCGTGTGGTGACGGAGGAGTGAGAGGATCCTGGGGGGCCCAGAGGGGTTTCAGGGAGCAGAGAAGGGCCAAGAGCCATGTACACAGGTGTCAGTGGTTGTGATGTGGGCGACGGAGGAGAGGCGGGAGTCTGGGATGGCTTTTAGGCTCCAGATGGGACTAACACCAACTGTAGAGGGGGTATAAGTAAAAGAGTAGGGAGTTGGGGAAACATCGGTTCTGTTTTGGCCGTCATGACTTTGAATGCTGTGAGCCATTGAAGTAAAGAGGTCTCGATGGCAGGCGGAGAGAACAGAGCTCCGGAACCTGGTCTGTACTGGAAATGCACACGGGGTTTATCGGGAGAGCCGTGGACACGGATTAGGTGTGCCCGGCGTGAGAATGGACGGTGTGAAGAGATTCTGTTCTTATTGACTTGCAAGAGCTCTTTGTCTGTGAGGGGTATTAGCTGTGGTGCATGCCCATGAGGGACGTTCTGAATTCTTGCCTATTTGAAATGTTATTTTGTATTCACACACAAATAACAACCTGTCTGAATATAAGAACACAGCATCATTTTTTGTCCTTACTTCTTCCACCCACCCCGCTTTCTTCTTTCTTCACTGTTACAGAGGAATAGGCTGAGACTAGCCTGCCTTTTGCATCTTTGGTAGTATCTGGAAATTTCTCCTGCCCCCATCCCTGCAATGGGAAAAAGGAGAAAAAACAAAAGCCCTCACTATCATATATCTTAGTTCCTTCTCTGGGTGTGTTTTGACTTGCCTTAGGTGTATTTTTACTTTAGGAGCATTGTTCTGTTNTTCTCTGGGTGTGTTTTGACTTGCCTTAGGTGTATTTTTACTTTAGGAGCATTGTTCTGTTATCTCGCCTGTTTTTTTCTCCCCTTCTCCTGGTATTCCTCTTCCCTGTGGATTAGATCACCTCGTCTTTTCCTCACGATTTTCTTGCATCATTGTTTCCTCTATCCTTTTACTCGAAGTTCTGGGCAAACTTCTCTTATTACCTGATTGATCTGTTTTTCTGCCATTGCTCACTGCTTTCATTAGAGATTTTCAGTTGGCAGGTGAAATTTCCTCCGAAACCTAATTTTGAGAACTTTAGAAAAGCCAGAAGAGAAGTTTAACACAGCCTTCCTAAAATCAAACAGTTGCTGTCCTGCCAGTTTGCTTTCTCTCTTTCTGCTGAGCCATAAGTTGCAGTTACTTGGCCCTAAATACATCAGCATGTGTCTCCTAAAAGCAAGGATGTTCTGGTGCAACACAGCATCATTACCATGCCCAAGAAATCTGACATTGACACAATACAGTTATTTATTCTAAAGCCTATATCCCACTTTTCCCAATTACTCCCAGAATATCCTTTATAGTTTTTGCTGTTGTTGAAATCGGGGATGAACTCGAGCATCACTCGTTGCACT